TACAGTCTTCCCAAGGAAGCTACATCTTTGCGTGGTATGTCCAAAACATGATAATCTGAGCCTGATCATTTGTGCCTTGAGTGAGAACTCTGGATTGATTTATTCAATGATCCATTTGTTTGTTTTATGGGCTATCCATGGTATTCTCAGAAGTCTTCTTCAACACCAACGTTCAAAAGCGGCAATACTCTTTCTATCCTGATCCTTCAAATCCAAATTTCGCTTCCATAGACTGTCAGAAGGAAAACCATTTCTTGCACAATTCTGATCTTTGTAATTATAGGCACATCTCATCTGAATATCTTTTCCAAGGCCTTTATGGCTACCCTTTCAAGTGCTACTCTGAGGCATATCTCTTGACGGTTAGTCCCTTTACTACTGATAGCTGATTCTAAAAGGCAGAAGTTCTAAGGTTGGTTGCTGGACTTGTCATAACTTTAGTCTTCTTAACGTTTAATCATAGTCCTATTTTTTTCACTGTGCTTCTTGATTTTCATTACTAGTTTCCAGATCACTTGCATTTTCAGCTATCAGAGTAGTGTCACCAACATAGCACCAGTTACTGATATTTCTTCCTCCAGTTTTAAAAACTTGCTCATCTTCTTCCAATCCAGCTTCCCTTAATATTCAGCATATAGTTTGAATAAATAAGGAGAGAGCATACAGACTTTTCTCATTCCTTTGCCAACCTGGAGCCAGTCTGCTTTGCCATGTTCCATCCATACTGTAGCTTCTTGTCCTATGTATAGATTTCACATGAGGACAGTGGGATGTTCTGGGACTCCTATTTTCCTAAGCACATTCCACAGCTTGACATGGTCAGTGCAATCAAAGGCCTTTTATTCTCAGTGAAGCTCATACTAACTTATTTTGGGTATCTTTTGGCTTTCTCAGTTATCCAGTGATCATCAACAATAACGTCTCTTGTTCCTCAGACTTTTCTAAAGCAAGCTAGAATATCTGACACCCTCCTTTCCATGTAGGGCTCTAATCTGTGTTGGGTGTTCCATACATTATTTTGCTAGCATGTGAAATTAAAGAAATTGTGTGATTGTTTGCACACTCTGTTAAGTCTCCTTTCTTCGATATTGGTATATAGGCTGACCTATTCTAATCTGTTGGCCACTGTGTCATTCTCCAGATTTACTATCATAGTTTGGTTAGAAACTTTTTTGATTCTTCCTCTATTGCTTCCCTTATTTATGTAGATATTCCATCAATTTCTATAGCCTTCTGACTTGGTAATGGCTGGAGTGCTGATTTAACTTCACCTTCTAGTACCAGAGGTTCTTATATGTAGGGAATACCTCCTAAGGTTGACATCCCTGCTGTACATAATTTCAGTATACTCAATCCATCTTCATTTGATCTTCTTGGAATCAGTTACAATCTGTCCATTGGCACCCTTTAATATACCAATTCAAGATTGGAGCCTCCTTCTGAATTTGGAGATCTTTTGGAAGACTTTCTGTCAGCCCTTCATGGTAGACCTAGGTAAAGAAACAGACACCACAAGAAATATTAGAACTCTATTGATATAAGTTATAATACAACAGGATCTTGAAAACCTGACAGCATTTCTCCTTCCATCCCTCTTATAACATAGAGAGTCACAGCAGAGCAATCTTGCATTTCTTTCTCATGCCTTCCTATTTTCCTGGGTAAAGTTCATGTTTTTTCAAAGATTGCTGAATATTTTCTTCAAGGTCATCTCTTTACTCTTCTACATTTACCTTGTTTTTCCACGTCTCTTTCCATCCAAATGTCATTGTAATACTGCTTCTTGTCTCCCCTAACAGCTGTCTGAAATGCTTTGTTCTTTCCTGAGATCTTTTTCTTCCTTGGCTTCTCTTCTTGGCAATTTCCGGTTTGTTCTGACATCCAGTTTACTTTCCTCTTTTTCTTGGTCTTTGTTCTTGGTCTTTGGCTGTCTTTATATTTCCCATATTCATTCATTCATTCATTCATTCATTCATTCATTCATTCATTCATTCATTCATTCATTCATTCATTCTATCTATCTATCTATCTATCTATCTATCTATCTATCTATCTATCAAATTTGTATGCTGCCCATCTCCCTCAGAGGATGACTCTTTTTTTTAATGCTCCATGTTCCCACTGTCCTTGCAGCTTTAGATTTTCTTTTCCTGA